TTCATTTCCATTTTATATCTTCAAGGGGCGGAAGTGGTGTAGTGGCAAGTGGCACGCTTACCACGCGAGCGGTCCGGGGATCAAATCCTGGGTCGTGAGTCGCCCGGGCCAACCAAGCCTTCCATCCCTCCGGGGTCGGTTAATTGGTACCAGACTTGTCTGGGAGGATAAAAACACTGACTTGTACATCGGCTGGCCCCGCAAGTCATTGTATAGGCCACATCGCATTCAAACGCCACTACGAATGTACAAATGGAAGTAGAATGCGTGCCGCATCCCAAAAAGGGATTGATCAACGGCAAATGCTTTATCCTTTATCCTTTTCGTTATCACTTTCTCAAATGTTTTTCCTTCGATTATCCCGTATATTCATGTCCTGTCCACAACGCAAAGGTGACTTGATTTGAACGCTCCTAGATCCAGAAACATCAGCCATTTTCGAAGAACGTCAGCTTTTGTAAGGTTCCTGAATTCAATCAGATTGAATAGGCGTGGGCTGTGGTATATAATGATGCTGAATATTTTAAGATCCAGCCCTTACGCGTTCCTTTATGATATCTTTATTCCGATCCCTGCCACATCTTCTATACAGTCAGCGATCATTGTCGTTTTTCATCAGATGGCAACTTATGTCATCAGTGCCGCGTTGTGGCCGATAACAACTTAGGAAGTGTGGATTTTTTCCAGGCGCGATAACGAATTTCTTTGTCACAGCCACAATCGCCTTTGCGACTGTCGACCAACTTAGAGGAATCAACTCCATTAGCCTACCGATCTGACCGAAGTTCAAAATTACTGCTGAATATCAGTCGCCATCGAAGATGAGCTTTAACACCGACGATGAAAAGATACCGGCCACCGAAAATGGATTCTTCAAGGCGTAAGTTATGATGTTTAATTGATAACCAATTGAAAATGCTATATAGCTACGGTTTTTCTATCCAGTGTTCCGGACGTTGAAGGTCAAAAACACCTTCTCCGCATCACTTATTTGATTGAAAGGCTCTCATGTCAAGGCAGTGCGCAATCTCAGTTGTGCAATGAGGTGCTGCTCAACATTTCTGGGGGAAAGCTCATTTTTTCAGCTCCATCATTTTCATGGAAAAACGTGATCGCTGAAAATCTTTGAAAAAATCGTAAATAGTGGTAAAAATGAAAAATAGGGTTTCCTGTTCGTTTCATAATTCTTAAATTTTTCTTCTATAATTTCTCACAAATTTTCTTCTGGAACTTGACACAGCTTTGTTTTCCCGCAGCTTCTGGAAGAGCCTCGATCCAAGGAAAAGAAGATATCTATCAAATAAAGAAGCTCAGAAACTGTGATTTTATCCAGTAATTTTCTCGACGCGAAAGCCTCATCGGACGCTTTACCTCACAGTTACCCTCCAAAAAAGTCAGCCGGAGAACTAAATCTCACAATCTCGAACCATCAAGCAGCCCGGCTCAATTTAAGGCGACTGGAGAGCCTCTTTTGTCGAGCAGTTTTCAGCCCCTTGATTTGACTCGTCTCGAGTTGAGTCTAAACAACTTTTACCTGGAGTAGTCCATGTTCCTCCTTGCAGACTTGGCATGACGAATTTAGTAGCTGGAGATTTTCCTGGAAGAGGCTGCTCCAAAGATCAAATCAAAGAAGAAATAGAAATATGGATGTTTAGAAAGATCAAGTGGTAAACAGTAAGCTTCGGATCTGACGTTGCCTCAATTTCAGAAACAAACGTGACTCGTCGTCATTAAATTCGATGATGGACATGACCCGACCATTTATGAATCCGAAGGGTCTCAGCTGGTTTGTCACGGCTCTGTTCGTCGTTGGTGATTTAGCCGGTGGTGGTTTGGTGGCCTTGCCTACGGCCATGATCCAGTCAGGTAACAATTTTTTCTTGTACACATTGCGATTAAGAAATTTTCTGCCTTTTTGGTCGCTTCATTAACAGCCTTTACTACGTGTGATCCTGGCTGCGTCCATCCACTTCGTGGCCCTTGCAACTGGATTGAAAAATCAAACTTTGCCTGCGGCAGGCATTCACGACAGAAATTTCAGATTGTTTCCATGTGTCCTTTAGCTGGCGACTGTTTCTCTATCCATAGTTACGCTACGAAAGTCTTCCTTTTTTTGGAAATCATTAAATACATGCTTCTTTATTATAGAAGGAATGCTAAATTGGTATCCGCGAGAAGCGTAGACTACCCACCAGTTCTTGTTAGGAGACGCAGCTTTTCAGAACGAACGCAATAGTGACTTTCAGTTTGTTGCTCTTGAAACGTTCTCTGAACGCCTAGCAAAACACTTGATTTCACTCAAACACTTTTGGCTTCCTCCTCCCTCGCAATCAGTAGGGCTGTGTCAGAGTCCGCGATCTTCTCGCGTTTCACGAGGATCGCGGACTCTTAGCATTTTTAAATGGTGGAGTGTGTGGCGCATCTTAAAAGGGATTGAACAACGACTTAATGATGCATCTACCTACGTCATCTGTGGTGTTTATTTGGTTTGATTTTCCCTGATCGTTTTGAAGCAGGGTCAACCGTCCGTTCGAACTGTTCGAACGAAGGGGTCGCATTTTGGTCGGAAGGGGGTCGCAATTTCGAGGACTGTCAGCCACAGGCGCGTGCGTGGCGTATCCGAGGGCAAGAATTGTTTGTGCAGACCGCATTAGATTCGATTAATTATGCACAAAGAGACAGTTTTGGGCAAATTACGGTGTTTTCCTTGAGGAATAGAGAACAGTTGAATGCATCTCCATGAAAAGTTTGACTTCTTGTGGCTGAAATTGAACTTGAACCTAAAAGAAGAAACCTCGCGGTCTTCAAAAATGTCTTCGCCTCTTTCCAACATGCTCTTTGAAGGAAGTTATTATTGCTGAAAGCTCGAAAACTCGCATGTGCTGCTCAAAAACCTATGGGATCCAAATGTTCGAACGTGGGATTTTCTCGAAAAATGAACTTTGAAAAACGGTTTAGGGCTTGTTAGAAAGAGCAAATCCTGTACTTTCACCCCATGAAAAAGTGCATCACAGAAATGAAAATGAAGTGAGTTATGCCCGCTGAAAGCCCAAAAACTCGCTTTTGCACGAAAAATGTTCGAACCGGTCGGCCCGCCTATCAACACCCACTTGGCCCGTGCTCGCGACACCTTTTGCCCTCGTTCTCTGCTCCCTTCCTTTACGGAGACGATTCTTGAAAAAGAGGACAATCGTCAAACTTTTTATAACGTTTTGTTAGAGAAAGATTTCAAGTTTCCGAAAATTTTTACAGATTTCCAAAATGTCGCATACGAAAGATTTTATGGGCCTTCAAAGTTGGAGGTGCGCCTTCTCAGAATTTTGGGTTTTCCGCTTCTAACAGAAGTACTTTCCGGAGAGTTAGGCAATCCTTGTAGTTTTCTGGAAGCGCACCTCAGGCACAATCAAAATCTACCTCAACAAGTCAAAAAAATACGTCCCAAGAAAGTTATTCCCCTCTAAATTTTTTCTTCGCCGCGTCCCGTTCTTCCAGCGCCCGGGTGATACCTGCCGCGCTCCAAGGCCGACGCGACGACGCGCAGACGCTTTCTGGCGCAACGGATTCATGTCTAGCACTCTTATTAACAAAAACAGGGGGTCGCAACTGGACCCCCTCGAGAGCTAGGGGGTCGCAAAAATCCCGAAAATGTTCGAACGTGATAATGCTGCTAGGACACCTTGCCAACGGTTGACCACTGTTATCCATCCGAGCCATTCTTCTTTTCCGTGATGTGAAACTTGGAAGTATGATCGATAACGCAATTAACATCATCCGATAAGAACAATTTTGTGGGCACCGGACGTAATTGTAAACTTACAAAATAGTAGTTAAATAGGCTAGGTAAAACTTTCAATTGCACCCAATAACTACTCTTTTGAATTGAACTGATAAGTCTGTCCCGTGTGGAAAGACCAGCGAACGTGTCAACGATTCAGCTTCATCTGCGACGTAAACAAAGGTCGTAAAAGCAAGAACATAAAGATCCAGCTTATTTGGCATATAGCTGGACGAATTTCCGCGGCAAAGCGATAACATACAAAATTGCTACCGTATGATGAAAAAGTTTGGTGAAATCAAAGTTAAGGGATACCTATGACAGGCTTTTGCGGGCGGAATGTGCGCTATAAATCTGAGTGTTTCGTTAGAGGGGTTCTCAGAATCTGATGGACTCATCGATCCACATTAGGCATTACAATATACTACCGAGAAGAAATATGATCTTTGACTTGGGAGATGCCAAAATCATGCTTGGAGTTTGAAGGTCGACATGGCCGGAGAGCGCTGCGGTTTCGATGCCGTTATTGAACGTCACTGGTGGACTAGGTCCTACAGAGGGCTGTGGTTCTGAACGTGACTGGTGACTAGCTCCTAGAGAGTACTCAGATGTGGTTGGATCACATTTTCACGGCCCTTCCATTAAAAGAATGTCAAGCGATGGTCATTAAAGCCGAATACGCCTTACCCAGCCAATCGGATCTTCTGCCGTTATGTGAATCGGAATCAACAATGTTGATATCCATCATTTGCCTATCCTTGTTTCTTAGCTTAAAGCGTGCCCGCATACCCCAGGAACATAAATTGGTTGTGGTGGCCGCTTGCACACGAATGCGAATATATTGGTGTGGAATAGCCGGCAGTGAAGGAAAAAGGAAAGGAATCCTTCGAAAACGCTCAGGTTAGGGGCACGTACAGTCCGATGTAGGTAGTGAACAGGGATCGCTGCACGGCAAGCAGTTTAACGAACTCGCCTCGGCTGTTGTTCCTTACAATCTTGATCCCATGTAACAAGTTATTCGAAATAATGTGTGCGTATTGATCGACACTTGAAATTCTACTTGGGGCACAGAATCCCACAATTATTGATTTATTAACTCATTTATTTGTTTATATACTATGACTTCAAGAAGAAACGTTTTTCCACTTTCTATTCAAAATACTTACAAATATGAACTACGGAGTTTTTTTTCCAGAGTTTTACCCCGGATTGGGCATTTCTGTTCATGATGGCGGTCGTCACCTATACGGCTTACGCACTTGGACTTAGCTGGAATATTACTACTGACACACATGGCCAGAATATCGAGAACATTGCCGGAAGCCATATCCGGAAATCGGTTATCGAGCTATGGGCAAAGTCGTCAAGTGAGTGACCTATTATAACTAGTGAATCTTGAGAATGCAGTACCACTCGAAGCTAACCAGGAAGGTCTTTCAGGACATGGAGCCCTTTTTGAAAACGGTTTTTTGCATGATAAAGGGGCACATGCATGAAGTACAAAACTAGGCTCCATTTTTTCTGAGCGGCCCTCTGGATGCCAAAAAAGGAGTGAAAAAATTTCTTCAGAAATCGGAGTTTTCACACCTTCAACGTTCTTTATATCACTCGGTATGTTAAGTGGACGCACAATAGAAGGTTTTCTTCACCTGAACGTTGAAAACAGCGTGGAATAAAGCCAATACCAAAAATTGTAATATAATAAGTGCTCAAAAGCACAAGAAGTTTTCATCAGAGTCGTTGACATTCATCGTACAGCGGTGGTTGGATGGTCGAGTGATCCAGCGTGCCATGGACTTCTGGTGCGCACGTAGTTTGTTCGAAGTTGTTGGTTCGTTCCCCTCCATGCTCTGATTTTTGCATTTTTCCGATTATCACTTTTTTGCATTTACATGTGCTTGCGCGTGAACTTAAAGCCTATAGGTGTCATTTCCAAGAACTTTCTCCCACAATTCTGCGATATTTCGTAGTACCATGGTTTTTCAAAAGTTATAGTTACGCAAATTCCGTTTACAAGCAATAAATAACTAGCAGTGATGGTAAAACTCAATGAAGTGTCTGAATCACAGGCGCAGATCACACCGACTGCATCTAACGAACGCCAGAAAAGTGAAGTTGCCATTTTCTTCGCAAGGAACACCCACTCCATTTCCCTTGAAGGCAGATTGCCGGCGTTGAGGAACGTCCAGGATGCTCATTGACGTATGCCAGTGCCCTGCCAGGCATACGCCATGCATCGACAAGATCAAGGGGGTGATGCCAGATTGTCCCATGGGCAGGAACTGCGGTGGAAGTGTAACTATCAACCAAACGTGTCGCTTGCTATCATCTCGAAGCTGTCTTCAAGTGGGAAGCGTGCATGCCGTACTGACTATGGGCTAACCCATGGCCCAATTTTTGAATTCGGGCCGAAATCTTGATCTTCTCTAAAACTGCGGCTATAAGGGTAATTATAGGCGCTGATTACGAATCTGACGTCCATTTTTGATGGAGGCGCGATATTGTGCCATTTTAGCCTCCTCGGGCACCAACTCGGCGCCGCTTTAGCGCCATACAATTTTGCCGGCCGCCAGTCTCCTGGCAGAAAAGCTAATCAGAAAAGTTGATGATGACCCTGATTGTAAGAACAGTACCTATTTTTATCGGCGGCAACATTTGGAGTCATTTAACATGCGCTAACATGAAATGCAAAATTTTGTCATCAGCCGGGACCGATCCCTCGACCAATTTTTCATACCTTTTTTGGCATTCACAGGGCCGCTCAGAAAAAATGGAGCCTAGTTTTGTACTCCATGCATGTGCCCCTTTATCATGCAAAAAACCGTTTTCAAAAAGGGCTCCATGTCCTGAAAGACCTTCCTGGTAAAGATCAACCGGTTCACGTTTCCTAAACCTCTCATGGCAGGCATTCGCGGTCCTTATCCGATAGCCCCAGAACCCGATGGGATGTGAAGAAAAGCCAGTCAGCTCTGGACGGTCCAAATTATTATGAAATAGTTAATTAGGGTTGCTACATAAAGATGTGCTGGTGGGCCTACCGCACTTGATCTTGCAATGTGCAGAGTCTCGTTTGCTGCGGTAATGTTCTAAGGCCAAGATGGCCGATTTCGTGTGAACTGAAAGATGCTTTTATGACAACTATGTTGATAGAATTTTTGTGTCAAATGAAAATGCAATCAGCATCCCCATCAAGAAAAAAAGAAACGATCAATTGTCTTGCCCAATAAAGAGCATTCTCGATTTAGGTCGCAGCGCATGGTGAGTATACGATAAAGCGCAAGCAGAGTGCGGGCGATACGAGGAAGGAGGATGTCCGCCCCTGACAGTCAGAGGAAGGAGCTGCCGATTCAGCGGAAGGTGGCGACCCCTGTCTGCGACCTGAATGCGTGCAAGAGCCATAAAGGCCTTACCATTCTGCTCCGCCACTTGCTCCTCTAGCAAATGCGCGGGCCATTCGTTGCGTTTGCTCCCTCTCGCGCCCGACGTTCTCTCTCGCGTTTTCCCTCTCCTCGCGGTCATGCCTTTCCTTCATACCACGGCCGATTTCACAAGGGACATTTTGGTGTTTTCTATGTTTTTTTTTTGCTTTCCTTCCAACTGGCGTTCCTTACCGTGCTTCTTGCCTTGGTTTTGAACAAACGCATGAAATTGATCTCGACGCGTGTCTTCAAACCCCGAAGCTAAATGGTCTGCTGCTCGGCTTTGAACTGAAATTGTGTCGTTGACCCAAACCTACCTTAAGCCCACATTTTGTGATATTTCACAATTCCTTATACCTATACGCTTGACTCTCGTCTACCCCGACACTCCGAAGAACGGAATGATGTGTAACTGAAAAACACTCATTCCCTCGCCCGCCTTGTCTTCAGACGGCCCCCCCCGAAGCGGAATGGGGGATTGGAGAGAAGTGGACGCCATGAAGCGTGTACGTTCAGAGGCCAAATGTAACGCATTATTGGCGCTTTTCTTGTGATAACTGCTTTCATCAAACCCCTTCATTTCCCGATTTTACGGCGAAGTATCCCGTTTGATTATGCGAATACTATTTTTTCTTGCAACGTGTATACTGCTCTTCTAGCAGACCGAGCGATTATTTCGAATTATTCTCAATGCGTGTTGACATTGGCAAGATGAAAAACGCTAATATTTCAGGCTGCTTGTCTGCGATATGTATTATGACACTAAACTTCATTTGGTATTGCAGTAGTTTACTTGTTACTGGCCTCGAAAAATATTCACGATATGATCAAGGTAAAGAAACTCTCCACGAAATCTGTTCGTTTCTTGAAAACATCGTTGATTAGCTACTATATTACTGAATTTGCAGACATTTTCGGATGCCGAGTTCAGTTACTGTTTTGTAGTGATTATCCTTGCTGTATGCCTCTGCCAATTACATTCCTCAAGTCGCCACAGGATTTTTGGTTAGTTCTTCAGGAGGAGTTTGTGACAAAAAAATTACCAGGTTGAATGAACTATGCGATGCCATCGAGTAGTTCCGGAGTTCCAGCACATATCACAACAACTTGACTAAAACGTTCATAATTTCAGGTGGGCAGTCGTGATTGCCATGATCACCACCTCATGCGCAGTCGTCTTGATTATTGTCGGCGCTTCGCTTGACTATGGTTTGTGCTCAGGCTATACGTAAGTAGCGCTCTCTTCTCGATGATGACAACAAAGAGAGTGCCATTGTCAGGTCATGGAGTGCTTCTCCAAAATGGTTTTCTGCATGTTGTAGAGGCTTCTGCAAGGAGCAGAAAACCATGATCCATTTTTCCTAAACGTTTTCAGGAATGTCAAAACACTGGTGAGGAAATGTATCGGGCTCGATCCTCCGTGGTGGCATTTTGGATTTGGGTTTGTGCTCCAGATTGCTGCCAATTTATGGTGAATCTTCATTTTCGCTGCTGGAGACCGCCAACCATATTGCAAAACTAGTCGTCAGGGAGGATAGGACTTTAAAATCATTCTTAACCACTATTTTGACACCTTCTAGAAGCGTCTCGGAAAAATTTACCTGTTGTCCCCAAAAACCGGCCTCATCCTACAACGTCGGCAACATTTCGAAACACCTTATTTTGTAAGCGGCATCGATTTGGTGTCATCAAGATAGGGCTCCTTGAAGTTTCCGCTGAAAACGCATGTTTTCAGAGGCATGCCATCGTATCAACCGAAGAACTTCTTCCTGGCATTGGGCACTTTGTTGTTCGCCTATGGTGGACATTCAGCCTTTCCCCACTATTCAACATGACATGAAAAATCCCGCGAGTTCACAAAATCCGTCATATTGGCTTTCACAAGTGAGGATCATCTTGAATTTTTTGATTTATTAACTGCGATTCTTGACTTGGAAAAATTGGCTGGCTCGACCAGAAAAGTCTGGAAAACTTAACAAATCAGTAAAGGGTCTGCTGTCTGCGACGAATACTGGTGGGGAGACCCCTGCAACTATTCCTACGACCCAAAAGTCTATGTCCGCTTAATGACGACCGGGATTACGTTTCAAAGATGACGAGATGCTAATGCTCAAGTTGAGCATTCCTACCATATCATCATTGCAGCTCTTACCAGCCTCCTCCCGACCAGGGTCAACCCTATCGTTGTTACTTTTTGAAAAATTTTTACGACCCCCTCCCCCAAGGTGGATTTGATACGACCCCCTTTCCACACCTCGTCCACACCTCGACCACCATCATCGTCTCTATAGTATTTAATTCTGATACCAGTCTATACCCACGAAAACCACCTCAAACTCACATGTGATTTCGAGCGACTAAAGTGGGTACGACCCCCCTCCTACAAACTCAACCAGGTACGACCCCCCCGTTGTTACTCGTAACAACGTAGGGTTGACCCTGCTCCCGACTGTCACCTATCCCTGTTACTCAGCTCTGTTACGCAGATCACTTTGTCGGAAAAAATTCGATTCAAGGAGAAACTCGCAATCGACTTCACTGCATTTTTGGCACGAGACCGCCGGCTTTTGAGACCGCGACATTGGTTTTCAGTTAATAGTCGGCAACAAGACACTGGCACTGATGGTGAATACACTGACGATCGCAATCGCAAAGCATTTTGGCATACAATCGCACATTTTCTAAAGGCACAGTTTCTCGATCCTAAGAGAGATTATTCCTGAGTGAGGTAGCAGGGCCGCTAATCACAGGGGTGCGATACTTCGCGACTTGAAAGTGTGCGGGAAGGGAGCTGATGCCTTCGCTTGACCGCTGCGATCGCTGCCATCTTATCAATCGCGGCATACGTGGCGTCTGCGCCCTCTCGCGTACGACGTGCTCTCTCGCACTTTCCCTCTCCTCGCAGAGCTGATTTTCTCTGCCGTACCACTAACGACCGCCCTAGAAGAACTTTAGTGTTTTGATGGTGTTTTTCGTAGTTTTGTTTGCTCACAAACATTTTTTTTGGCATTTCTTGTTTCACTTTCGAGCAAAATTACACATCGATCCGAAGGAAACCCCTGGCTTCAAAGGGCAACTTATCCGCAAGTCGCATGGAGCTAAATCTAGTCAATCGCTTTACCACCTTGTTCCTGCTACTATAAGCTTTTATCGTTATAGTTATGGGTATTATGTATGGCCCCGTGTGCATCATGGGCTATCTGACGTACCACGATTCAATCAGGGACTCGATTATTCCTTCCATTCAGGTAGGCAATCCCTGAGTTATACTGTTCCTAAAAATAGTCGAATCAATGTATAAATTGTAGACTGTATGGATCCAACAAGCAATCAACATTCTTATCACTGTACATTGTATCCTAACGCTTACTATTGTATTTAATCCACTGAACCAGGAACTTGAAGATCTCTTCCACTGCCCACATCGTGAGTTTCCTCAGAAAGTATTGATTCTTCTTCAGTCATTGATTCTGTTTGCAGATTTCGGTTGGCAACGAGCTTTGATCAGAACGGTTACGATGTTAGCAGTCGCGTTCGTGCCGAGAGCATACCTAACTTTCGGTCCGCTGCTTGATCTCTTTGGTAGGTGCTTTAAAAGCTGGACCCCACGAGTTTCCCCTAGCGTAAATCTCGAGC